TTATAATTGTAAAAATATTAAAAGAGACAGAGATAATTGTAGTGATAGAATAGATAATTAAAATTGAGATAATTATGGTGATATGATAGATATAATTAAAATTAAGATATAATAATAAGATTAAAATAAAAAAATTTAGTCTAACTAACAATAATTAATTTGAATCAAATTTTGAGTTAAAAAATAGTTATCTTTTTATTTTTTTAATAAAAAAAACAATTTTTTTTTAAGATAGAGGAAGTAATTATTTGTCAACATAATTTTCAAAATATAATAAACACCAAAAATAAAATTACGAAGCATTGCCTCACTGCAACATTGCTCCTAAAGCATTTTAGGATCTTTCTACATAATTCTTTGCCAATATCTATCCATTTCAGTCTGATGCAAATGAAAGATAGACAATTCAAAACCCATTTACACACACACCCACACACACATATATATATTCTTAAATGCTAAGATTATCTATAAAAAGACTTAAATATTCATAATGAATCAACATGTAAAGAAAACTTATTAAGAACATTTAAATAATTTCATAAATCATTCTAATTAATATTTTAAATGTTAAGACGTCTTAATTTTCTTACACACAAATATATAGATCCTTCTGTCAAACTGAGTGGTAGACGCAAAAGCTGTTCAATGCTCTAAAAACTAAAATCAAACTCAATATAGGTTCAAACCTTAATTTGAAGCTACAAATGTGCTACTATTAGCAGAGGATTCATTGCTGAATGGATGGAAGGGACTTCCCTTGGATAGCCCCTCATAACTTGATGAACTTGTGGGTGTCTCAACGTTGGGATTCATCCCAGCAATCTGCATGATGTTTTCAATCTCTTTTACCACTTCACTCATTTTAGGCCTATCAACTCCTGATTCTTCCACACAGCTCATTGCTAGGTCCACGAACTTTTCTAAACCTTTTAGGCTTTCATCCAAAATGACTGGGTCAAGAATCTGATGAAGACTATACAAGTCTTTTGCCTTATCCATTGCCATTCTCACTTCTTTTACAATATGCTTCCCTCGCTCTATTGGTTTTCTTGTAGTTATTAGCTCCAACAAAAGCACCCCAAAACTATAAACATCACTCTTTTCAGTTAGTTGGTGGGTCATATAATATTCAGGATCCATGTAACCCTACACCAATAACAAAAACCACAGGCATGATGGAATTCTTCTAGCACAATAAAGAATTGTCACTAAACTAAAGCTTCCTTTTTTCTTCCTCATAAATTTGTTATACTCAAAATTTTCAAAAATGTTTAGCTTATATAGGATTTTGAAAATGTTTAGCTTATATAGGATTTTGAGTCTTTGAAGTGAAATGATATAGAATCTATAATGTGAATATACTTCATTTAAGTAATGGTTCTAAGCTAATGAAATACGATTGATTAACTTTTATCATTGGCTCATTCTAGAGAACCTCTTAAACATCATGCTACTATTATCTATAAAGACAAACATTATTGATCACACATAAGCTTTGTTGCTTCTTTTTTATGATCAGCAAAAACCTATGTTGCTTCTTAATCCCCATTATTTATGTAGAAGATAGGAAATCTTTCTTATCACACAAAAGTGGGTGTACAAAAGCACTCACCATTGTACCTTTGACTTGAGTAGTAACATGACCTTTTTCACTATCACTTATAGGCTTGGAAAGACCAAAATCGGCAACTTTAGCAGTGAGGTGTTGATCCAATAATATGTTAGCTGATTTAATGTCCCTATGTATGATGGGAGGATTGGCAAGTTCATGCAGATATGTCAGGCCTCTAGCTGTATCAAGGGCTATCTTGAGTCGCTTGGTCCAATCCACTCTGATTCTTGACATTCCTATAGATAGGATGTAACAATAGTAATATAAATTATAAAAATATGTACTATCTAAATAACTTGTTAAGTAATTCATGTAGGGTCAAGAATGGAAGAAATGGAGGAACATACCTGATAGAGTTTCATTCAAACTACCATTTGGAACATATTCATATATTAGCGTTTGTTCATGTCGCTCAAAACAAAATCCTAATAGACCAACAATGTTCTTATGATGGACTCTAGATAAAAGTTCAATCTCTGTTTTGAATTCCAGCACGCCCTGCTTTGATCCTTGTTGGGCTCGTTTGATCGCAATTAGCTTTCCATTGGGAAGAGTTCCCTTATAAACCTGTAATTGGTTGAAGATTGAAACTTTAAGAATCATGTAAAATAGATGACAATTGAAGACAAATAAAAAAAATGGAGAAAAGGAATAGAAGTGTTGAAGTTATTTTGGCAATAACCTGCTGGACTCACAAAAGTTTGAAGTTAACTAATTATATTAATCATATCATGTTCATGATTTACTTAGTAGCATTGATTATACTACATGTATAGTTTCATTTTATTGAGACTTATGATATTATATGCATTAACTCATTTAATGATATATAAAAGTTATACGAGAAAATTGTACACTTATCATTACCCTTATTTTTAATACAATTTTCCAACTAAAACTGCTAATTGGTAGCTATTCTTTTATTGGAATACTAGGTAAATAAGCCTCTCAAAATAATTTTTACTAGCAAATAAGCCCTTAATGAGTCTTTGATGACAAATCCATGCTTGTACTTACAAACTACAGCAAATCTCCCTAAAGTTGACGGACATCTTTGACTAATGTTTGTCAGCCTATCACACCACATCAGATAAATTATAAATTATAAATTATAAATATTGACTAACATTATCCATCACTTTGGGGAGATTTGTTGCCATTTGTAGGTTCATGGGTGGTTTGCCACAAAAGTTTCATCAAGGGCGTATTTGTTTGTGAAATTTATTTTGGAAGGGTTAATTTGCCTATTATTCCTTCTTGTATTGCATTGCTCCCTCCATTCCGCATTAATTGTTATTTTTTTTTATTTTAAAGGAGATGAATATATTTTTTTTTTAATTGAACCTTATCATTACTCCTTGACTTTAATTATTCATTCTATCATAAAAAAATCACTATTTATCTTTATTTTTTTTAAGAGTAACTTCAATTTTTTTAGAACAGAAAGAGTAGTTTTTTTTAGTGATGAAAGCAAAACACAAGGAGTTGTGCATTGTCAATGTGGCTCATGGACTGTGAGCCAACATTTTGAATATATGCCATGACTATGTGGTGTAGAACCAAGAAATAGAGAAGCAAAGGTGAGAAGAGAAGTAGAAGAATTAGTTTTATTTATTTATTTATTATTATTTTATAAATATTTTCAATTCATCTAGTCCAATTGATATTCTAACAAGACTACTTATAAGGTACAAAACCCTAAGTCCAAACTCTAAACTAAATAAGAAAATGATCTCTTGAAATTATAAAACAAAGTGAATAAGTTAAAGGCACTAAACTAGAACTTGAACCTCTTACAAAGATAAAACTTTAAAGTTTTGAAGTGATGCCCATTATTGTGTCAAATATTCTTTACACCTTAAATATGTAATTAAACACATGTTATGTATTCTTCAAGTTATATATATAGAAAGAGAAATGTGTGTTACACCAACATGTAGCATTAAATTAAAGAAAGGCATATCATGGAGTTCTGAGTGGCAAAACACAAACGAAAGAGTTTTGCAACCTTAAATTTGTGGCTCCATATATGTATATAAGACTGTTATATATGTAAGTATTTATAGTAACTAAGACCAATACATGCGTATTGTAAAATTACCAAATAAAATGCAAAAGGGTTAGTAGCATAATTTTATTTAAGCAAGAATCATCATTTCACTTTTAGAGAGAGAGAAGCACCTTTCCATAACCCCCAGATCCAATATAATTAGCCTCCGAAAAGTTATTTGTATATTTTTTAAGCTCCTCAAAAGAGAAACATCTTGCGCCTTTTAACTGAGGAATGCTACCGTTGTTTTTCATAACATTCCAGCGTGCTGCATTTGTATATCAAAATTCAAAGAATGGGTCAAAAAATCTCAAGTTTGTGTGTAATCAACCAGCATATGCTATAGTAAATAATTAGATAATACCCATGCCTTAATCGAGAATATAACAATGAAATAACTTAGACTTTTGATTTTTATGAATATTAGAGCTAGCATCTATTCATGCCACATGATCAAAATCCATGTTGTTTTATTCAATCCATCAACAGAGACTCTAGAGCGACTCTCCTCTCCAATGCAGATAAAAAAATGTATAATCTTACCAAAAAAACTAAAAAAAAAAAAAGAGGTTAAAATACCAAAATAGTTCCTTTGACTTTCGAATTCATGCCAAAATTGTCTTTAACCTCTGAAAGGTGCTGAAACAATCCTTGAGCTTGAATTTTCGATACCAATTTAGTCATTCCCCATTAAATTGCCAAAAATTCATTCTTTTTAAAAAAACTAATGACGTAGGAAAAAAAAAAAAAGTGAATGAGTTAGCAATTCTTGGCTAAAAAAAGAAAAAAGAAGAAGAAAAAAACAACATTTATATATATATATATATATTTTAATACAATCTTACATGTTATTTAAAGATTGATTATTTTTATTTATTTAGGATATGTAATGTTGAGTGTATCAATTTATTTAATGATATATAAAAATTATATAAAAAAATTTTCTCTATATCATTATCATTAATAAAAAAGAAAAGAGAGTTAGCAATTTTTTTTCCACATTAGATTTACCTGATTTCCACTTATTTCAACTTCACATTTTCCCACTTAATAGCACCCACATCACTATTTAAAAAGGGCAATAATACACAGACAATTTGTTTTCGTACAATTTTTATATAACATTAAACTAATAATTGCATATCTATGCAAATTTCAGTCAGATAAGAAGAGTCCATCATTTTTCATCGACAAAAAGGTTATCAACCTAAATGGTTGAGGACCCACATCACTATTTAAAACAGGTGATCAACATAAATAATTGAGGAATTAACCACTGACAAATTTTAATTGAAGACTTAAATATAAATTAAATCCATAGCAACCATTTAATTAACTTTATAAATATCAATGAATAAAAAATGGAATTCTCACTCTAATTTTCCTTCACCTCCCCAAGAACCAAAACAACAAAAATTTATCTCATCCAAATTAATCCCAAATCTCATTACTATGAACTGTCAAACCTAGCTATTACAAAACCTCTAACATGTATCAGTGTTGTCTAGTAGAGTTTGTGCGCAATCAAACTGAATGCTACAGTAAATAAATGCTAATCATACCAAAAGGGTCGCTCTTTATGCTTGCCCTTTCTGCCTTCTTCTTTTGGCGAAAAGCATAAACCCCAGCAAGCAGTGAAAGTAGCAGAAGCACAGATCCCCCACCAGCTGCTCCGATGATGATGACAATAGTTGATTTTTTGGTGTCTTTAGGTTCATCTGAAGAAAACCACTTATGAGCATAAAAAGCGTGGAGTAACATCAAATAGAGCTAAATTTTACGGTTCTATAAAAATTGTGTAGATACCTGAAAAGTAGTTGTACTCATCACTTTCGAAAAAATAAGGTCCAAAAAGAGAAGGTGGTGGCTTGAAAGATCTGTTGCTAAATAAAAATGTAATCCTAGAAACTACTGTTCGATTGAAACTAGCTCGGTCATATGGAAAAGCACTAAAGTTCAAAGAAAGAAATGTAGAAGATTCCATTCTTGGATTACTTAGTGAAACTGAATCAACAGGAAGTTGATTGGACTGGAAGCACAGCATCAAAGATTCCTGTAGAGCTTTATATGCGGCTGAGTTCCCCAAGTCTGAGAAGAAAATTCCTATAAAAATTAGAGTTCCTGTATATGGATATGCACATTTGCATGTGGTGCTAGAAACCTGGTCTGAACTGCATTTAGCGGACGAGCAGTAGGAGCGAGGGGTATTAAACAAGGATGTGGATTGTGGGGGTTCACAGTAAGTTTCTGTTGGTCCTGTCTCTTGACAAATGGGGTTACCAGTAAGTCTGCACAAATTAATAAAATTCAGTGGGCCTATAAGGACATTTATAAGCTTTAACATTTAAAGAGGATACATCTAAAGGCAATTTGACCTCCAAATAAAGAGAGCCAAGACCTTAAGCAAAACAAATTAATGGAGGAAAAAGCCAGAAGAAATGATTCTCTCACTCTATCTCAATGTTGTGTCCTCCTGTTCCATTGAATTCAGTAATGTCATTATTCTGCAAATCTACGAGGCTCAGCTGGTTGCCAACATTCGTACCTATATTCAAGGTGCCATTTAGCTTGTTCCCTTTTAGTCCTCTGTACAAGGTAACAAAGACAGAAATAATTAGCCTCTAGCTATCATCTCCGTGGTTGGGATCAAAAGGATACGTTTCACTATAGTTGTGAATATCTATGATAAGGAATGGTAGTGCCTGAAGTGAAGCTGATACTCACAGAATCTGCAAATCTGGAAGGCTGAAGAGGTCGACAGGAACATGACCTTGAAGTTGAGTGCTTTCCATCCTCCTGCCTTGCAAAGAACTCAATCGTTCTTTAAACTTGATAGGAAACCCGTCAATGTGTATGTATACAGGCATATGGGCATGTGTCCATAAACATGCAGAAAACAAAGTAATAGGGCAAGGAAGAGAGGGAAGAAAAGAGGGAAGGGGCAGAGGCAGAGAACACATTCAGAGATGGGTTTATTGTACCATTTACTACCCTCATTTAGCTTTACACATCATATGGCTCCTAACAATATCATTGGGGATGGAAAGATATTCTGGGCAGTAGTTAGACAAAAAATATGGCCCCTAGGGAATGTGATGGTAAAAGGAATTATTTGGCTTCTGCATTTAAAATCAACAGAGTGGTGCAGATAAGGAAGGAAATAATATATTTATTAAGAGTTTATAAAGATTCTAATTAAGAGTTTAATTAGTTATTAAGTCTAATTCAGGTTTTATGTTTTCTATTTAAATGTAAGTTGTATTAGCTGATGAATTGAATTGAAAGTCTTTTAAAAATCCCTAATTCTGTTATTCTCTTTTCACCCTTGCCTCTGTTTCTATCTTCTCTCCTTACATTTGCTTTTGTCCTCAGAAAGAGAGAGAGAGAGAGAGAGAGAGAGAGAGAGAGAGAGAGATGGACATACAATATTGCTAAGGATGACAAAGATGAAACCCATGTAGGAATCCCAGAGATGTCGAAGTGATTATTACTCAAGTCCCTGCAGAACACAATCATATTATTAGAATGAAAATCAATGACAACAATATAGGGTTATATGAATAATAATTTCAACTGGAGACATAAAGTGCATGCATTGCAGACACATTGGAAAGGGAGAAAAAGACTTAGAAAAAAGGGGTAGTTTAGTTATTATGTAAAAGGCATGCGCTGCTTTCAAGGTTTTGAGACTGCTCATGCCAGTAAGGGGGCTAAAGCGCCATTCAGGTTATTGTTAGACAAATACCTGAAAAGAAGTTTAAAAAACATTGTCTATTAGAGAAAAATCAATAAATGCAAAGACTGCTAGTGCTCATCTTTGATCTTCCATTTTTTTGCATGTTTCCAGATCTTTAGGACTTTTGAGATTGTTAAGGTTTAAACACGATAAAATTGGACTCAATACGAGGAATTCAACCCAACTCATTTGATTTGAAGATTCAATTCAACCCACATCGAGTCATAGGTTTAAAATATTGACCTAAAATTTGATATGACTAAGACTGAAATTATTGGATAAAATTAAATAAATTTTCAAAATCTAAAATTTTGATTAATTATATTTTTAATTTTAATTTTTAAATATAAAATAAAATTAAATATATAAAATAGTTATGATTTATTAAATTAATAAAGTTAATATTAATTTAATAGATTTTTACAGCTAAATAATTAATTAATAAAAAAAATATTAAAAAATTTTAATTTTTTAAATAATTGGATCTACTAGACCCAATCTGACACTTATGTGTATAAATCATGGGTTTATCCTTTTTATCCCAAAATTCGAAATAACTCAACCCAATATCTTTAAAATACGAAGTGATCTAATCCAAATTCACCCGACGTAACTTGTTTGACAAGTCTATTGAGGTTTGATGGAACACTCCCACTTAAGGAATTGTTATCAAACTCAAACGTCTGCAGCCAAAACAATAACTTCTTCGGTCAAACCCACAATGAAATCCAATTCCAACAATAATCTCATTAAGAATCTGCTTAAGCATGTGATCTAGATACTCACAACACCTGCAAAGATTGCACAAGTCCAAGGGTTGAAGGGATAGGGCCGCTGAGTTCGTTGTCATCAAATAACCTGGTAGAAAGAAAAAGAAAAAGAAAAAAAATGAAAGCTTTCAAACATACCATAATCCAGCCTGTGATTTGATGAAAACTGAAAAGGAAGGAAAAAAGAGGAATAGGGCAGAATTGCTACTCCACTAAACAGAAGAACAACAAAAAGATGAGAACTAAGAACAAACTGCTAATACTGGTCGCTTCTAGTACAGAAGCACTGTTATTCAGAAGGCAATATTTGTTTATTGCAGAAAATCCCCAGGTTTAAGCCCTCGCTTAGATACTTTCTGGTAACTTATGTACTGAAAATATGATTACAGAAAACAAAAGTGAAACTTACACATGTATCAATGACATTTTTGAGCTGAAAATTTGCTCCGGGATTTCGCCTGTGAGTTTATTTTTTCCGAAGTGACTGTATAAAGGATAAAACTTTAGATGATATTACTACAAAGGAAACAGAACATAATAAAACAAGTTAATCTTAGGCAGACAAGTAACATACAAGTGCTGGGTATTGGCCAACATATCAAGTCCAGGTGTAGTTCCATCTGACACTGGAATTGATCCCTCTAGCTGGTTGTCAGACAGATCCAGCCAATTTAGCTCCGATAGATGACCAATAGATGGCGGAATTTGTCCACTGAATTTATTGGAATTTAGAGATCTGCAGGAAATGATGGGTTTCAGAGATGTTGGCTCCTAGGATAGAACTGCTCTGATTAAAAGATGCAAAAGTATTGAAGTATCAATACAATTCACAGGGAAACAGAGCAGAGCTGAACTGTGATTGCTTAGTGAACTAGTACACATATGTCCATCAAGTTTCAAAAAAGAAATGGAAGATCACCACACCAGTAATTTAAAATTTTTAGTTTAACCGTTACATCAGAGCTGATATTAGAGTTAGAGTCCTCACAAATAGACCAGCCGTTGTAGAGATCCTATCGTGTTAGGAATTGGACCAGTGAAACCACAACGATTAAGGTATCTGTCACAGGAGTACAAAAGCAGATTTGAAAAGAATGGTAAACACTCAATTCTCCATAAAGAGAAGACCAAAAAAATAGGGGTTAATTAGAGTGGGTGATTTACAAATTTGTTAGCTTCTTTAAATTCCCAATTGAGGCTGGAAGAGGTCCTGTCAGGCCCTGGTTCTGAGATAGATCCCTGCATAAAGAAGCTTGATCTGAGATATATATCAATACTTATATTATAACATCCTCCACCAAGTAATAAAAAAGGTAGGGAGGTTCCTTGTGTTCTCTATTATAATCACCACTAAACTTTTTGTATATAATGCCTAAAGATCACTTAAGCCTTAAATTTAATTGGATCTTTAGATATCTGAGCAACACAATTGCATAAATGATCATCGTCTTAAATGGAGAAGGAACAAGTTAGTTTTGAAACAACTCGTGAATTTCAGATAGAGGACCTACAAAGTCTGTAATTCAGTTAAGGATGAAATATCATCAGACAGCTGCCCTTCCAAGCCCATGCTTCCCAATGTTCTGCAACAGATGGAGGAGGTCAATTCTCAGAAGCTGGAAGAGCAAGAATAAGCATTCATCCAAGAGAACAAAAAGTTGGAAATTAACCAAGAACTTACATCAAGCTGACTCGTGAATTCATGCACTGAATTCCTTCCCAGCCATCACCACAAGGATCTGAGCCCACCCAATTGAGGGGTAAGTTCCTCCAGATATCCTTGAGAGAATTTAGAGCAGCAACTGCAGCAGAATCAAAAAAGTAGTTTTACTTGATAAGGCAGTATGAATTTTGGAGTTTGATTTTCCAATGATTCGAAATCAATTGTGTCCTAAAAGGAGTTTATATAAGATTTAAACGTTCGATTTGAAAGAAATTTAATTGTGTTCTGATAGCATAACTCTTCAGAGGTTTTGCCGAACAATTTAAAGGCAAAAGCAATTAAGCACTGAAGAATCAAGACTCAACTAACTTTTTCATATGTATCAGAAATAACATGGGAATTTAGAAGCAGCTTTGTAGATCACCCCTCATTTCTAGTTGCAGCAACCCACACAATAACCAGTTTAATAAATTGCAAGGGTAATAATCAGCAATCTGCAGATGAAGATCATGTTTATAATCATTTAAGAAGCTTATGATATTCAGTATTGACTCCTTGTTTCCCCCAAATGAAAATGATAAAGAACAACGCCTGCCGAAATCTCCCATTACCCAAATCAACAGAGGTTTTGTTAAACATTGCATGAATGTAAGAAATAATAAGCAGCAAACTTACCGTCACCACTATCAGTAACTGCTGCTATGATGTAAACTTGGATAAAAACAACCAGACAAAGCAACTCAATTCTTGGTTCCATTTTTGGAACAAACAAAAAACTTCAAACTTCAGAAGTTGACAATTCTTTCTGTTTCATGTTTCTAGTGTTGCATCCACAATCTCTGGAGACATGAAAAGAAAGGTGGGAACTAGTTTTTATCAAATTCAGAACCTAATCTATCTCTGATATATCAGAAAACACGAATAAAAGAGGGAGCATTGTAATTTGTCATGATAAGCAACAAAGCAGAGGGGTAGCTCTATATAAACAAAGTAAATAGCATAATTCTAAATGAAAGAAACAGTAGAAATGACAATGAACATGTTGTAAACAAAGATTAATTGTGTTGATTAATAGCTGGAGCCCACCAAGTCGGGTGTTTGTTTCACATTATTTTCAAAATAGATAATTTCTTGCTAAGAGAAAAGAGCCAGAAAAATATCAAATATGTTTTGATTGGGTGGCAGGTTTCATCACGTTTGTGGCAACATGGTCCCATGCGCTTCAATTCAGTTCTCTATGTATACATACATACATATATATATATATAGGGATTAGTATTTATTAATTAGACCTATATAAAATTAGAAGGAAAAACTCAGAATTACGTTGTTCAATAAAACACTAGGGAAAAATACTAAGTTTATTAAAGTCATTAAATAAATGGGTACATACAGTCATATAAGTCCAATAAAATGAAATAAGTCGATCATTAAATAAACACTAATATTGTATGAAAAAATTGTACAATAAAAATCAGTCTCTCAATATCATTTTCCTTATTAATAACAGTCATGGGATACAATAGTCTGGTCATGCAAGTTGCAACCAAATAAGAGGACAAAAGGAGATGACATTTCATTCCGCAATTAGTGCTCACAACGGTATTTTTCCACAAGTCTATGAAAAAGAATAACCCAGTCAACCCACCAATCAAACAAACTGCCCCTACAACACTCCTATCCTATAACACCACAACCTCAACTATCCACTCTTCAGCAGACACCTATTGCTGAAAACAATCCAATACGTAATATAGATACAAGTTGGAAATTCAGTACCAGAAAACGAAGTTTCGACTGCAATGCGGAGTCACTGTCCCTCCTCTTCTGCCCTTATCCCCTCAAACCAAATATACCCTTGAGTTTTGAGTGTCAACTTCTTACCTCTTACTAAACCAAGCTTCAGTCCACAAGTTGTGGGCTTCTGGATGAAGTTTTCAAATAGTTACTAGGCCCCAGTTCAGTTCGGAGTTGAGACCCATGGCGATGGCAGCAGTGTCCTCGTGTGGGTGAAGCTGCAGAGACATTCAATCTTGAGGCCGCGGTGTGCAGCTCTTGACTCTTGCCGCTGTTTGATATACTAGCTGTTTGAAACAAGCAATAACAACAGTTAATAACAATCAAATTAGATAAAAATCCCTGACAACTAGGTATGGCAGCCACAAAATATTTGAATAAAGGGTGCACCAATCGATTCTCAATATTATTAACACAAGGTGCAAGGACTAATTAAGAACTTGACATCCAACTTGGAATATTGAGTTGGGTGACAAAACTTAACAAGAAGATAAAATTCTCATTTTTTATATAATTTATTATTAGGAGTGAGTGTTTATCTGTTTTATCTCCAAAAAATTAATTTTTAATGTTGTTTACTTCCTTTCATTAAGGTTAAATGTCAATTTTGATCCTTCAATTGTAAGGTTTTAATAGAGGAAAAAGATTGGAAAAAGACAATTATGGTAGGAGCTGCAACTGATGATTAATGATAATAGAGGAAATTGGTGTTTGCTTGGGGATTTCAATGCCACTAGGAACCAGTTTGAAAGGGCAGGTAACAACAGCCAAACAAGCATTATGAGGCAGTTTGAAGAATTCATTCAAGAAGCGGGATTGGTTGAAATTCCATTAATTGGGAGAAAATTCACATGGTACCACCCTAATGGTTGCTCCATGAGCATACTTGATCGCTTTCTATTATTTGAGGAATTGATAATGATGTGGCCAGATATTAAGCCATGGGGCCTTAAAAGATCCTTGTCTGATCACTGCCCTATTCTTTTGAAGAATGAGAAGATAAACTGGGGACCTAAACCATTCAAGTTCTTTAATGTATGGCTAAAGCAGAAGAGTTTCATGGAGTTAATAGTGAGTACATGGAAAGCAAAAGAAATTATAGGTTGGAAGGGGTACCAATTGAAAGAGAAGTTGAAGATCATGAGTGCTAAAGCAAAAGAATGGAGCAAGAAGGCAATGTCCCAAATTGATATGAAGATCCAAGAGAGCAAGGAGGCAATTGCTAACCTGGATTTGAAAGCAAAAATGATGACACTCATAGAGTAGGAAATCGTGAAAAGGAAGGGTAAAGTGCAGGAACTGTGGGAAAATGTGAAAGTAAAAAAAGGAATGCTTAAACAAAAGGCAAGGAAAGATTGGTTGAAAGATGGTGATGCAAACACAAAATTTTTCCATCAAAGCATTCAAAGCAGACACCATAGAATGGAAATTAACAACGTGTAGATAAATGATAAGCAAATAATAGGAGTTCAGGAAATTAAGGATGGAGTTGCCAATTATTTTGAAGAGCTATTCAAAGAGGATGATTGGCAAAGACCAGTTTTGGATGGCATGACATTTAGACAGATAATTGAAGAACAAAATGTTGCATTAATTAGGCCATTCAACGAAGAAGAAATAAGGGCAGTAGTTTGGGAATGTGGTTGCGACAAATCTTCAGGTCTAGATGGTTTTAATTTCAGATTCTTTGAGGAATTCTGGCAAGAGATTAAGGAGGATGTGATTGGTTTTGCTCAAGAGTTCCAAAAGAATGGAAAATTGAATAGTGGTGCAAATGCCTCATTCATTACCTTAATTCCGAAGGTCCACAACCCCCAAAAAATTGAAGAATATAGAACAATATCATTGATCGGGGCAATGTATAAAATCATTGCCAAGATTCTGGCTAACAGAATTAGAGGGGTGCTCCAGGAGGTGATAGGTGAACAACAAATGGCATTTTTAGAAGGAAGATAGCTATCCGAAGGGGTGGTTCTAGCAAATGAGATTAGTGATGAAGCAAAGAAGCAAAAGAAAGACAGTTTCGTGCTAAAAGTGGATTTCGAGAAAGCATGCGACAAAGTTTGCTGGAGTTTTTTAGACTACATTTTGGGGAGACTCGGGTTCGGAATCAAATGGAGAGGCTGGATCACTGAATGCCTGCAAACAAGCTTGTTGTCAGTTTAGGTTAATGGGAGTCCTTCTAGACAATTTGGGGTATCTAAAGGACTAAAACAAGGGGACCCTTTATCACCATTCTTGTTCTTAATTGTTGCTGAAGGCCTTAATGGAATCATAAAGTCAGCAGTTGATAATGGGCTATTTGAAGGTATTGAGGTAGGGCAAAATGGCATGTGTTTTTCTCATATACAATTTGTAGACAATACCATCTTGTTCGGGAGAGCTACTGAGAATAACATATGGGTTGCAAAGTGTATTATGAGATTATTTGAGCTTGTCTTAGGTCTCAAAATCAATTTTCTCAAAAGCCAGTTAATTGGAATACATGTTGAGGAGGAATGGTTAAACAAAATGGCGTGCTTGTTGCTGTGTAAGATTGGTGACCTGCCTTTCAAATACCTTAGGGTGATGATTGGAGGAAATCAAAGGAGATGGGAAATATGGCAACCATTGATTGAGGGCTTCCAGAAAAAATTGAACACTTGGCAAGGAAGATGGCTATCTTTTGGGGGAAGAATCACGCTGCTTTGATCTGTGCTCTCGTCTCTCCCAGTTTCCTTTACGTCAGTCTACCTCGTCCCAAAAGGTATTTGAAAAGTTATTGATAAAATTAGAAGTGATTTTCTATGGGGGGGCTGTGGGGGAAAGGACAAAAACTCATTGGGTTAATTGGAAGAGGGTTTGTCTAAGAAAAAAGGAGGGGGCGGTTAGGCATAAAGGACCTTAGATGTTTTAATCTTGCTTTACTTGGTAAATGGTGGGGGAGATTGGCAAAGAATAGAGAGAGTTTATGGTTATCAATTATAAAGGAAAAATATGGTGAAGGAGATGATAATTGGGAAAACTGGATTAGAGAGGGCAGGGGGAAAGGATCAAGATGGTGGCAAGATGTGTGTAGAATAGATGTAGTTGATCAAAATAGAAGTAGATGGATATCTGAAGGATTTCAATTTGCTATAGGTGAGGGTGGCAGTGTGAACTTTTGGAGGGACAAGTGGGGGGAATGTGGAGAGTTGGCTAACATATTTCCAAGATTATATATGCTCTCTACAGGTAAAGACAACAAGCTCAACCAAATGGGATGCTGGGAGAAAGGAATATGGAAGTGGAACCTCCAATGGACACGAGAGCTCTACACATGGGAACAAGATAAAACCAAGGAGCTTGATAACATTCTACAAAATGTATCACTGACGTAAGGAGGAAGAGACTCATGGAGGTGGAAATTCAACTCCAACAGTACGTACTCATCAAGCTCGAGATATGCAAGACTAGTTGAATGCGAGAACACGCCTCATAAAAAAATCTATGAAAGGGTATGGAATCCGGTAATCCCTCACAAAATGTGTGGCTTTGTCTAGCAATTAATCATGGATAGGCTGCCAACCAAAATCAACTTACTTAAAAGAGGAATTTTAAAAGATACTCAGGATACCATCTACTCCTTCTCTAATGAATGTGTTGAAGAAAACAACCATTTATTTTTGCACTGTAAAGTTTCCTCACAAGTTTGGTCATGTTGTTACAAATGGTGGAATGTGAAAACTGTAATAGCAAACAATATGTGGGAGCCTTTTGAATAGCCTGATGGGCTGATGATTAATGGAAAAATGAAGGCTAGATGGGAAGCAGTGTGGTTTGTAGTAGTATGGACTATATGGAATACAAGAAATGAAAGAGTTTTCAAAAACAAATCAGTAGAAGTTGGAAGTATTTTTGATTCCATTCAAATGAAGACTCATCAGTGGCTAAGGAATAGAGAGAAGGATTGGAGATTTTCTATGTCTGACTGGATTTTAAATCCAAGGGCCGTTGTATGTAGTAATTGATCAAAAAGAGGTAATTATTGGTTTTAAGCCTCTATTTATGGTCCAATTATTTTGGTTGTAAATGGGTTTGAGTACCCCTTGTATTCAATAAATAAATAAATTTGCTTTTCAAAAAAAAAAATTGTAAGGTTTTACACAATTTTCATCCATTAATTTTTTATGCATTTTTTTTGGTCCCTCAACTATAAAAAGGTAATTTTTTAATCATTATATTAGTTAATTTGATAAATTTATCTAAATATACATATTTTTAGTCCATTAACTTAAAGTTGAGAGACAAAACATACATTTAGTTGAAGTTGAGGGACTAAAAATATGTATATTTATATAAATTTAATGGATTAATTGACAAAAAGATTAAAAAAAGTATTTTTCATAGTCAAAGGACCAAGAAAATACATAAAAAAAATAAAAGATGAAAATTGTGTAAACCTTAAAGTTGAGGGACCAA